TGGGAGGGCTTCTAATGTCCTGGCCCCACTGGTGGACCTCCTGATGGCACCTGGTATTTTTGGCCACTGTGTGACAGAGTGTTGGACTGGATGGGCCATTGGCCTGATCCAACATTGGCTTCTCTTACGTTCTTATTTTCTTATGACTGTCTATCCTGTGCATCACCCCACCAAATACATACAAAAATACCACTATTATTATTAAATATATAATAACAACCTTTAAAATGACCAGAGTACCTCTGAGAATGTAGGGTTGACTCTTCCCACCTCTGCTGAACCTCAGCCACGCTTTGTCTCTGCCGGGAGGGGAAGGCCTTGCAAGTCAGACTTATGAGACAAGCTTTCAAGCTCTCCAGATTGGGGTGATCTCATCAGAGCTTAGATGTCACGGTTAGTACTTGGATGGGGGACCACCAAGGAAGACTGCTGTTGCTATGCAGAGGAAGGCAACAGCAAACCACCTGTGTTTGTCTCTTGCCTTGAGAACTCTATGGGGTCACCATAAGTCAGCTACAACTTGACAGCATACAATTATTATTACTAAAAAGTAAACACAGAGTAAATGTACGTGAACAGGTTCTTTCAGGTTGAACTCTAGCATTGCAGGAGATAGGAGGAGTACAACATCTCTCTTATTTTGAAAATAAAACTTACCCCCCTTTCCTACCTTTCCCTTCCTGGATGGCTTGAGAAGCAACCCAATTCAAAGCCCTCCAAGCCAGGTACTGGGAAGACACTGTCATCCTATGCATGCTCGCCCAATAGTTAGTTCCACTTTGTTCTATGGGATTTACTCTCAGGTAAATGTACAAAAGAGTAAAGGCTAACCAATGCACTTACAAGCGCGAGGGGGGTTTGAAGACATTTGAAGCTCATAGCCCTCCTGGCCAGCTAAGTGCTCCAAGCAGGTAAACAAGGCCACCTCCATTGCCCGAGAAGGAGGGAGGCAAGCTGGGCCTTTGCTTGGATAGCGGCAGGGGCAACTCTTGGGGAGGGGGGAAGGGGGGAAGTTCTGTGTGTGTGTGGCTTGGATGGTGGCAGGAGTGGCTCTTGGTGGGGGGGGAGTTGTGTGTGTTAGGAGTTTGTTTGCACACGGGACTTTCTTTTTCTCCACTAGGATAACTAATTAATCCATGTCAGTTAAAACAAGTGAGCTACCCCATTTTACGCCTATTCAGACAGTTTCTTCACTGATTAAAAGTGACATGAAAGCATTACTATGAACCCTTATTCAAACAGGGTAAAAGTCATGACAATGCAATAGAGTCCACCCCACATGAAGGTTGGCAACCCTAAGTCTTGTTATGGTACTCACAGCTGTGCCCAGTAAGAATGTTTACCATTACTTTTACCATTAATAAACCTGAAAAAAAAATTCAGTGATACACAACTTGTCTTCATTATTAGCGCCCCACAAGCAAAATAAAAAATCCCCCCCCTGAGCAAGAAATTCCTGGCTATGGGCCTGTCTGAAGTGCCTGCCTTTCCCCTGCAGAGCCTGCGTGCTCAGATCTGACCAGCAGCTGGGGAGCCTGCTCTGCCTCATGCTGGGGGGAGAGCAAGAAAGCAAAGGTGGCCCTCAGCAGCTCTCCCACTCCCCCCCTACAGGAGAGCTCCTAAGGGGGAGGCGCCAAGCCCATGCTGCTGCAGGAGGAAGCCTGAGCACCCTGTGCTTCCATCTCTGCCTTCTTTCTCCCTCTTCTTTCTCACAGCTGTGCCCAGTAAGAATGTTTACCATTACTTTTACCATTAATAAACCTGGAAAAAAAAATTCAGTGATACACAACTTGTCTTCATTATTAGCGCCCCACAAGCAAAATAAAAAATCCCCCCCTGAGCAAGAAATTCCTGGCTATGGGCCTGTCTGAAGTGCTCCCGGAGGAGATCCGGGCCCTGCGGGACCTTTTGCAGTTCCGCAGGGCCTGCAAGACGGAGCTCTTCCGCCAGGCTTTTGAGTAGGAGCTGCCACCGCCACTATTCCACCACCGCGGTATTGCTCCATCGTCTACCCCTATTATGGGAGGTATGCATCGCCTGGCAGAATGTAATGATGTTCATTACATTCTTTTGAAGTGTTGTATGTGTTTACATATTCAAGATATTTAACATATTCCTATGAGTATTATTACTTGTCTTTAAAACTTTTGGGGAGAGTTTCCACCCTCTGAAAAACCAACAGGAGCCTTCCAGGACTTTCAAAAACGTTAATCCAGTTTAAAATTGGGAGGACAAGAATCCACTTTTTCAGATGCAAGGAGTAGATCCGTTTATCTAGCAGATAGGGGGGGGGGGGATAAGGGTGAAGGGGCCATGCAATGCAGGAAGTACAGGTTGAAATTATAATTACATAAAACATCATAAAGAAAAGTGCAGAGATCATTCACTTGTTTTGCTAAACCAGTTAACCTCTATTATATGTGGGGACGTTCCTGGTTTTAGTAAATTAATCAACAGCTATAGTGAGTTAGAAATCCCGAATCCCCATTCAAGAGGAATAAATGTTGAGTCCAGTGGCACCTTTAAGACCAACAAAGGTTTACTCAAGGAATTAGCTTTTGTGTGTACACACTTCTTCAGATACAGCGCATGCACACAAAATCTCATACCTTGAGTAAACCTTTGTTGGTCTTAAAGGTGCCACTGGACTCAAAATCTGTTCTACTGCTTCAGACCAACATGGCTGCCCACCTGGATCTGTCCCTGTTCCAAGAGGGTGGGAGATATTGTGAGATCTCCTTTAAAAAGTCCAGTTCAGCACTTTTATGCCGGATTCTCCCTCTCAAGTGCTTTTGCGGTAGAAGTCTAACCTCAGGGCTATCTGCACAGACCGAGAAATTCCTCCACCACATTTTTGCAGAAAAGCCCACCCTGTCAGTCAGGTAGAACATGTAGTCAGTCAGGTAGTTCAGAAGCCAAATCCAGACCCTGCCCTTTATTTTGAAGCATTTATTTTCTAGGGTCATGCAGGCATTCTGGGTTCAGAGCTCCCCCCCCCCCACCAGCTTAGGCAAGGCATCTCTGACAAGACTTTCTCTCTAATGGCCCGTTTTTGGACTTCGCCTCCCTCTCCCACGGGCTGCACCAAGCTGAAGCGATTTTCTTTGAGAAGGTATTGCTGGAGTGATTTATTTTGTCACACTGGTTAGTGATTTTGCTTCTGTTTGACATGTTATTTGATTACTGGATCTGGTTAAGGTTTCCCTGGAATTGCATGTTATTCATTTATGACCTTGCAGGTTGCATTGTGGGAAAGGGAGACCCGGGGGTTTTCAGTCATAACAGATGACTGCTGGCGGGTTTGGGGAGGAGACGATGTATTTCCCAATCTTTAAATGCATGTGCAGTACACTATTCCACCCGGGTAGTAAGCAGAGCCGGACGATCTGCTTGTCAGTGACGCGCCTGCCGTCCGAAACGGGGGTTTCTCCTCCCCACTGATCTCGCTACCTGCCGCTCTGAATTTGTTACGGCCTCTGCAGGATCCCCAAGGGGCGTCATTCCTCTTTCCCGGAGCGGCTCTTGGCCCTGCTTTACACACCGTGGCTGGACTCCCCGGCGCGGCACCGAATGCCTGGCCCAAGACGGCCCCCGGGGAAGTCGCGGAGGCCTCCGTGCAGCAGCTCGTCGGCTTTGGCACGCCCGGCGGGGAAGCCACAGAGGCAGCCGCGTGGGACTCCTTCTTCGCTGCCGAGCCGAGAGGCTGCTGCAAAGAAGAGCGCCCGGGCTGGGCGGCGGCAGGCTCCGGGGAAGCACACGGGCAATTCCTTGCCAGCTCTGCCAGCGCCAAGCGGCTTCCTCCGCGACGCAGCGCTCGAAGGGCGACCCACGCTCGGCACCAATGACAAGGCGGAGCCTTCTTCCCCGTTAACGCTGCTTGCCCGGAGGGCAGCAAAAAAGCCGTCGCGGCGCTTCCCCGCGCCTGACTTCCTAAGGTCACCCGGCAGCGGGCGCTTCCAAGCCGGCATGACCACCAGACACGTGTCTCGGCCCGTGAGCCCGAGAGAGTTGCACGGCGCGTTACAAACAGAAAAGACACGCGTGGGCTTCTTTAACAGCGAGCATAACATTCCCCCCATGGGGAGATCAGTCCAGAATGCACCTAACATTTGCACAACGTCTCCCCTAAAAGGAAAGGATTTCAACTGCGCCCTGAGAACAGGGGCAAGGATTGTTCCGGGGGGGGGGGGACACTCGAGAAGTTCCCTCCGATCGCCACGTTAGACCTCCAGTAGGAAACGCGCGCCTTTGTGGAGCGAGAGGGCGCCTTTTGTTCCTTCTCTAATTGGACCATTTGTTGTGTAATCGCTGGGCTGCTCCGCGTGAGCGCCGACAGAGGGAAATTCGAGCCCCAGACCCGCTTCTCTGACGGCTCTGCCTCCCCCCCCCCCCCTTCACCCTTCCTCCCGCTCTGTTGCTGTG